GAGATGAAGAGGTTACGAAATCGTGGGTTTCTAAAAATCTCAATTTTTGAATGTTGAATTTGCTTAATTTTAGGGATTTCATATATCTTAATAAATATTTACCAATTTCATATTTTATTAATGATTTAATATTGAGATGGATATATTAGTAATTTATATTATGGGTACCATCTATTTTGGGAATTATGTTAGACAAAAGTGTAAATTCGAGTACTTTCAATCCTTTTATGTAATTAGGTCTCCTAAATAGACCATCTATATACTAATCTCATTTTTTTTTCTTTGTTGTCTGTCCTTCTCTTCTCTTTACCACCATTCATCCTCATTCTCTTCTTCTTTTTTTTTTCTCTTTACCAACGTGTCGCTTCTGGCCGCCCCACCTTAGTTCCATGTCGCGTTTATTTTGCTCCGCGTGTTATACCTCATTGTGAGTCATTCTTCTTGCTGCTGTATTTTCCCAATATGCGCTAAAATCACGAAACACCTTCATTTTCTCTTTGGGTGCACTATATTTTTTTTGGCTCTATTCCATCATATCTACACTATTTCGCTCATGGGTGTTGTCCAAGCTTTGTAGATAGTGTTGCATGGTCCGGTTGCCTCCCTCACATCTAATTTGGTCTTCTTTGTGGTGCTAGATTATCCTCTTTCGGCTTCTTTGATTCCAAGTTCGAGCGTTACTCAATATTCCTTTTATCTATCCTATTTCCACCCTTACTTTCCATGGCTGCACTATTTCCACTCTTCCTTTGGGCGAAATCGAGTGCATTGCTTACGTAGGGACTACCACCTTAGCATTTTTCCATTTTAGTGCAGATTTAGGCAGATTTAGTGAAGGAATTCCTTTGTGCATCTTGGAGTTGAAGTTTTTTTTAGCAAAGAATTGTGTGTTTGGCCTTGCGAGGTAATCTTGCTACTTCTTTGTTTTTATTTTTTTTAGTATGTCTGGTTTAGGAGCTGAAGAATTTGATATAGGGGATTATGAATATCTAAGCCCATTGTATTCGAAATGAAGGGATTGTGAACAATCGCAGCCTTTGTAATCACATAAATCACAATCAAGAATGAATAAGCTAGTATAAGATGAAGAATCACACAAGAATTTAAGTGGTTCAGATACCCGTTTGGTATTCCTACATCCACTGTACAACAACTACCATAAGAACTTTATTATCAAGAAGAAGAACATAAACAGAGCAAACGGAAAATTACAGGGCAAAAGGAAATCACCCAAGAGAGTTTCAATCCACTCTCCACACCTAAGTACTCTGCCTCTCTCAAATTACAAGAAGTTTGTACCTCTCTCTAATCCCTCTGTCTCACCCCTCTCTAATTCCTCTATCTCACCCCATTCCAGAATCTTCTTCTGTTTTACAATCTCTTTCTCCCTTAACCGATTTGTCACGTACTTCTAGCTGTGGAAAGAATATTTTTGGTTATTTTCAATTCTTTTCTATTTCCTCATATTCCAGCTTAGGTGGATTTATAAAAATCCACGTACTTTTGAATCAGCTATAGAATGAGCCACATTACAGAGACTTAGGTCTGCCATTAGTAAATTCCTCGTGTATGGAGGGGTTTGCATTTCCCACTTTACCCCTAGATGATTTGATGACGGGGAATGGTCTAGTTGGATGTTATGCCGTGAATTTTGAGGATGTTAACAACAACTATGATTTTGATAGGATGGTTAGCTGACCTTCTGGTATTAAGCCTTCAGAGGAAGAAGAGATATCTAAACCGGTAATTATTACTGATAAAGGGGTTGATCATATGGTTACAGACATAATGTCCATACTTGGATATGAGTTGGTGCAGAGATCACGGAATCCCTTCACAGGTTGTACAAGAGAACTTAGACTATTATCGCTCTCGATATTGTATTCCAGTGTCAACCAAATACATCCCCTTACCTATTTCAGTAAGCTCATATGCTGACTTAAGCATCAGAGTGTGGTTGGCCAGCACCACACCAGTGTTAGCTTTATAATCTCATTTCTATTACAGGTTTTAAGGAGATTCGAACGAAACCATATCTTTATTGAACATTTGACGGTCAACCCGTTTGGTCTTGTGAATAAGCTTCTCGACCCGACTGCGCTCTCCAAATATTTCATCAACAGTTATGAAACCCAATAGACAAATTTGAAACAACAACGGATTTGATACAAAAAAATAAAGTGAAAAACAATGCAAGTGCAGATTTGAAACGAAAAAATCAAGTGGAAAACCATGAAAATGATATGATTGCCAGACCATGAAAGATGAAAGTGAGATGAGGGTGAAAACCTCAAGCATTTTTTTATGAACCTCGATCGGGGTTCATAACTTCCTCTCCTGAAATCGTTAATTCGTGTGAACCTCGCCCGAAATTTGAAGGATTTTCACCCAAAATCTTGAAAGCGTAAGAACCTCGCCCGATATGTCATTGATTCTCGTCCGAAATCATGAAGTCGTAAGAACCTCGCCAGAAATTTAACGGATTCTTGCCCGAAAATTGTCATATAGTCTGATTTTTTATTTCGTAGAATGTTCGTATTTTTATTTTAGTTTATAATTTTATATATGTTTACAGGATGCCTCGTTTGTTTGTTAGTTATAGTGGTCAGTGGAATGAGGTATAATCTATTTATGACGGTGGAATTATGGGAGGTTTGGATGTAGATGATAGTATAACATATGATGAGTCCATGAGTGCGATGTACAAGCTCACTAAAGTAGATATTGACAAGTTCAATATTGTGATATAGTGTTTATATAAAATTCATTGCCAAGTACCAAAGTATTATATGTGTTAACTCTTGGATGCTACAAGGATGGATGCAAATGGGGCATGCGTGCGAAGAGGATTCCTGGTTTTGATACCTTCCTCAACTCTAAGTTTTTTGGTGTGCATAATTGCAAAGGTGAGGTAATGAAACATGATTACAAACAAGCCCGAAATCACGTGGTGGGTTAGATCATAAAATACAACTTCGAGGATCCAGGCCGTTGTTATAGGCCAAAAGCTATTGTTAATGACATGCGTAAAAATTACGGCATTAACATCGGTATGAAAAGGCGTGGCGTGCGAGAGAAGCAGCCTTGGACTTACTGATGGGTTCGTCGAACAAGTCTTATACTCTTCTGCCTAAATATGGTGAGGCGTTGAAATTTGTAAACCCATGGACGGTGTTTAATTTGAAGCTTGAGGGTGATAAATATTTTTAATATACGTTCATGGCCCTTGGATGCTTTATAGGGGGTTTAGAAGTTGCATTCGCTCAGTACTTGTAATTGAGGGTGCTCATCTGAAATGTTGTGACAATTTCGGCTGAAGAGAATTCCAGTAACTCATTAATGCACGCTAGAAAACTCCTCTGGCGAAAATTGCACAACTTTGCTCGAGGATTTCGAAAAAATTTATTTGTATGACGTTGACCTCAAGCGAAGTCTTGCAAGTTTTGAGCTAAATTCGGGTGAAATTGCGACAATTTCGTTCGAAGAGAATTCCAGTAACTCATTCATGCACGTTGGAAAAATCCTCGGGCGAAAATTGCACGACTTAGCCTGAGGATTTTGGAAAAATTTTATTTAAACAACTCTGACATCGGGCGAACGAGACCAATTTTTGGGCCAAATTCAAGCGAAAATTGCACGACTTCGCTCGAGGATTAATATAGTGAGGATGTACTTCAGACTATTTTAGCCGGAGTCATGTTATTTTCATACTTATACAATTTATGGGCCATGAAAAGTGGTCTCTTATAAGGAATTTAAATGATTCGAATAGATTAAACCGTAATAAAATCAAAGTACAAAGGCATAAGAAACTTTACATGAAGTATTCAGCTAAAAAAATTGACATGTTTTCCCCCAGTTCAATCGCAATTTTTTCCCTAAAAAGCCTAATTTTGTCTTACGCTAAGGTGGTCATATCAAACCCCCTTACATTATATTCAAAATATTTGACACAGAAAATCCCGTAATCACTAGAGCTAACCTGTTGCGACGCCAACGTTACATGAAGAACGCACCATGACAGATTTGGTAAGGTCGGCCTCTATACCATAACACTAGTCTCGTGCATCAATGCTGGGAGGACGACACTCATAAGCTTCAACTCAACCTCCAGAACTGACAGCGGGGTGTTCGACCTCAGTGAATCCCACACAACGATCTCACCCTCTTCCATATCGATGCAAACCATGATCCAATGGTTTCCACCGATGTTAAACGATTGGTAGACAACGTTCAATTCAAGCCACTGTTTCGGGTAGTCTGTGTGAGTCCCGTCTATGTAGCTAAGGACAGTTTTATATTTCCCAATCCAATTGTATTCTGCTGCCACTCTAGTTGGCACTGCGTTTGGGGCTTCCAATCGTTGGTACAGATCGTCGGTTTGTCAAAAGAAGTTCTGTAATTGGTAGCGAAGACATGTTAGAACATAACTTACTATGCATATGCAGCGTATAAGAACTAGATATTACGTACCGCAAGGACTATATCACTGGTGGTGAACTAGATATTAAGTTCGGTCGTTGCTCGAGCTTGTTCCGCGTGAACATGACCAGCAAATCTACCGCATGTATAGGTTACCATTGTTAGGAAATTATAATCGTCAAGGTAGCATAAATTAAGGTTTCGACCCCGTACCTCACTCGTCAACCAGTTATCCGATGTGAGAAGGTCATGAAATCACGTCTTTCCTCGATTTCCGTAACATGACTTTTGGAAAGAAATGTCAGTATTCGGGTTGGCCATCCATGCATGACACTTTTCGACTTGTTCGGGGGGACATGCACAAGTGGATCGTACCGAATAACCTTCTTTCGCTTCCCGTCCACCATAACTTGGAACGAGCCCTGAAGCTTCCATGGCAGCTTCCTCTTCCACGACCATCATCGAGGTTTAGGCCGTTCAATCGGTTGCAAGATCAGACGTACTACATCCGACTCTGCCTGTGACGTACCAGATGTATTCTCAGCAGTCTGGGATTGAACTTCTCTTGGTTCTTCCAGATACGAGTTGGTGAAATCGTCTGCATGTTGATCCTAGAAAAAATATGTTAAAAGACGAAGTACTTTATTAAAAGGTTGACTATCAAGAATAAACACCTCGTCTACGGATGACTCGGAGTAATGTGAATTGATGATGATACGTTCAACTAGTGTGCACTCGCTGAGAGCATGTTCAAGAGGGGCATTCTCACCACGCGCATCTTCGCCCTGGGTACATGCACACCTTCCTCGCCACGCGCATCTTCGGTTTCCTTACCCTCCTCCTACACGTCCTCTTCAGGCACGTCTTGCTTGCACAACAAGTCACGTGCATGTTGCTTCAAATATGACACATGCAAACCTCATTATTACTGGATTAATACTCAAAAATTGAAATGGAGATGTAACAAAATGTACCTCCTGTCCTAGTGCCCGATATCCACCCGATGTCGGTTCCGATTCAAGTTGCTCCCCCTCGTGATCACAAACCATTGTTTCTCTCTGATGCACTCCTAAATCCGAAGGATCAATGTTCATGCCATCAGTGGCTTCACAATCCATGGCAAATGGTTTAGAACCATCACCGCCACTCAGTCCGTGACCCCATCTGTCTCCCCGTCCACCATCACCGCCAGTGGGTCCGTAACCCCGATCGTCTCTCGACCCCTTCCGTCTCATGTCGTTGGGATCAACAGGCAGACCCTATACAAAACACTTTCAACATATGTTAATTATTATAAATGACAAAGTAATTTACCTTAGTTATTCGTCTAAGAAATTTTCAAATGGATTTCTATTCAGCCTCAATACTGATTACGCTTGTTTACATGCGTAAAAAGAAGGTTTTAGATGCTGTTTTTACTATGTTTCAGCTTTGTTTCGGATTTTTCTCGGTCGTTTGAGTTCCAATTCATGCAAAATTCATATATTATGGTTTGTGGTTGGCTTATATTGTATTTATGATATTTTAGGACCATTTGGGAGTGCAAATTAATCAAAAGAAGCAAAAAGTCGGAAATACCTACATGGGAGGCGCCAGGCGCCTGC